AATAAATAAATAAATAAATAAATAAATAAATAAATATTAAAAAAAAGAAACTTTCAAAAAAAAAAAAAAAAGATGCACCACACACAGGCCAACCTGGCAGGTGACTCTAGCTTGTGTTGAGTTAACCTAAAACTAGCTAGTACATTACATTGTTCAATGGACGCTGCCTATCTCTACCTCTCTCCTTCCCCATCTAACAATCAGGTAGGTCTCTCTTTCAGGCCACATTCTCATTAGCATAAAATTTTCAAAATACCGAGAGAGAAAGTGAGGGCCCTTGGGATGACCTGAAGTAAGCACCCATTGAAGCAGGAGAACCAGAATCTGGCAGCCCCAAAGCTGCATGGGGCAAGGGGTGCTTCATCTTCCATCAGCTCAACAGTGGGCTGGACGGGGTAAGGGTTGTCCTTCTACTAGAAAGAGCAGCCACACAGCCATGGCCCGTGGGCAGAACAACAGCAGACAGGCAGAGAGAGCAGGAAGGGAAGAGCGTACACAATCCCCATCCCTAGCTGGGCTGGCACTCGGCTCTCAAGGCTACCACTGAACGGGTCCTGTAGCCTCGGATTGGCTGCCCAAGTGTTGGCTCCAGACAGAGTCACCCATCTTAGTCCTTTAATTTTGCAGCTTACACAACACTGTGGCCACATAATCAGGGCATGGTGTGGAGAGGCCGTGTGGTTCTGACTTCTCTTTTTTGTTTTGGTTTTTCGTGACAGGGTTTCTCTGTGCAGCCCTGACTGTCTTGGAACTCACTCTGCAGACCAGGCTGACCTCGAACTCAGAGATCCGCCCGCCTCTGCCTCCCAAGTGCTGGGATCAAAGGCACGTGCCATCATTGCCCAGTGGTTCTGACTTCTTTATAAGACGGCATTCCATGTTTCTGACAGAGAACAGCATCAGACAGCAGAGGAGGTCAAGTTTCATGTGTGTGCTTGGAAAAAGGAAAAGGCTGAGGCTCTGGCCCAGTCAAAGTTGTCTGACAAAAAGAGCGCCAGGAAAGGCATGATCTAAGACTGCAATCCTTTCAACCCTCGTCTAGAGGGCGCTACTGGGCTTCTGGCTCTTCTCATCGCTTCCCTAGCTTCAAATCTTAGAAATTCAAGCAAGAGATGTCTCAGAGGTTAAGAGCACTGACTGCTCTTCCAGAGGTCCTGAGTTCAATTCCCAGCAACCACATGGTGGCTCACAACCATCTGTACTGAGATCTGGCGCCCTCCTCTGGCATGCGGGCAGAATGTTGTATACATAATAAATAAATCTTTAAAAAAATCAGTTTAAAAAAAAAAGAAAGAAATTCAAGCAAGAAAAAAAAAGGAAGAAAAAAGGAAGTGGGGGGTGATTTAATGCACACACCTCTGTGGGCATTTATTAAACTCCCCTCCCCGAAGCCTCGCGCACAGAGCACAGACCCTGCTATGGAGGTCCTCTGTCGCAGACTAATACTTCATTCATTAGCTGTCATTCACTGCCTGGCATCGTCACTTGGGTCACTGTCTTTTCCCCTTAACTTGTCCTGATGAACTGAATGATTACAAATATCCCCGAGGCCCTGGGAAGGCTTGGCGTGCAAATAAAACATCAGGACGGGACGGGACACCTCACTGCGAGTGGTTCCCTGCTGAAGAAGGCTGGGTCCAGTTTCCAAGGCCGGACAGAGTTTACCGCCCTTGACAAAGGGACCAAGAAAGAATCCCTCAGATGCAGACAAGGAACACTGAGCTGCACTCAACGTAACACGCCAGCAGATGTGGTGACCCATATCTTTAATCCAGCAGAGACAGGCAGATCTCGGAGTCCAGGCCAGCCTGGTCTACAGAGCTAGCTCCAGGACAGCCAGGGCTCAAAAAGCAAAACAACAACAACAACAACAGAACTATGGGTCATGCCATACTAACTTGTATCTGTTTAGAATTTCATGAAAACCACTTATGTCAAATGGTACCTACAGAAGAGAATTGACCTGCGCTTGCTTTCTTTCCTATTCTCTTGTAACAAATTCCTATACATTTGTTACAAAAGTTTCATCATTAAATCTGTTAACATTTATTTTTTTTAAAAAAAAAAAAACAGCATGCTTTGTTTTATAGCATAATACTCAGCTCCAGATATTCACTTACTTTGGCTTTGGGCTGCAGAACTGATGTGCAGAGAATCCTAGAAAGAGAAGTTGTGAAGTTCATCGTTAGACATGTGGGGCCTATGCAGGGCGAACCATTCAGGTTTACACAAACGACAGCTTCATGAAACTCAGATATGGAGAGGTGAAGTGGTGGTGGACGGCATTCACCTCCTGCACTTCACTGAAGACTCAGAGCACCAGACAGACAAGATGGGAAGATATGACTTCTGCATGCAATCGCTTTCCTCCCTTCCCAGCTTTCTACGAATTCACTTTTCCTTCAGTGTTGAACAACCGTATCTGCATAGTGTAAGGCTTTAGTTTAAAACCATTACTAATGGACCTTCTGCTTGCAACAGTATAGTCATAAACTGGGAAGAATGACGACAGTAAATTTGGGCTTTGGCAGGTACAACTTCTGAAAACAGTATCCTGGAAGGATTGCCTATAAATAGGAATGTATGTATACGGGACCAGACAGAATGCAGTGTTTGGGATACATCTGAAGGTTATTTAAAAGTGTACGCTGATGACAGAGAGATAGCTGAGGGGTCAGGAGCACTTCCTGCTCTTCCAGAGACCAAACACCAACAATCTAAAACACCAGTGCCAGGAGACATCGCCCTCTTCTGGCCTCTGTGGGCACTGCAAACATGGGGTGCACAGTCACACATGCAAGCAAAACAGCAATATACTTGAAATTAAATTACGTTTCTTAAAGTAAAAGTCAGAAAGAAAATAATGGCTGGGTCAAGACACCGCTTAAAAACAGGTCAGTGTCTCCTTCATTTGTTATGGCAACCAGGATTAGTGTCAGCTGTTCACTTTAAAGGAAATTTAGGAACTATGAGACATGAGCACTTTGCTCGTATATATTCACACAGATAATTGAGCCTGGAAACCCAAACTAGCAGTAGCCAATCAACCTCAGTTAATTTCCCTCTCCCGGTTTTCCTATCTCTAGAAGAAAAATTCTCAAATGAGACACTGGATTGAGAAGTTCTGAATGCTGTAAGATCTAAAAAAGCTTTGTACAATCCTAAGACATTCTTACCAACAAGAGATGGAGAACAGACTATCTAAATAAAAGCCTACTAGAGTTCTGTAAAAGCTAAATTGTGACCTTTAGCCCAGTCTCCAAAGATTCCAGTTAACAAGACTCTCACAGCAACATCTCAGACTTCTCACTCGTGTGGACATGGGTCTGTCCTACACCCCAACCTCTCAGTGCTGGGGACAATGTGTCTGTCCTACACCCCAACCTCCACATCTGGGGACGCTGTGTCTGTCCTACATCCCGACCTCTCAGTGCTGGGGATGCTGTGTCTGTCCTGAACCCTGATCTCACTGCTGGGGACAAGGTGTCTGTCCTACACCCCAACCTCCCAATGCTGGGCACACTGTGCCTATTGTGATTGATGGAATTCATTACCTTTGTAGGGAAAGGAAATCTGGAGGGCTCGGCGGTACTGGGTGTGTGTATAGCTGTCAGAGGAGGCGGCCACGAATGGGTCATTTCCTAGAAAGAGATTTGGGAAAAGAAAAGGCAAACGTAAGTGGACATCCATCGCCAGTTGGTTCAGAACTTCAATGCGGACGGGTGGGTGATCCACAGAGAGTGCAGTCTCATGGGACAGCTCATCCCGTGTAGAGAACACCTGCACCGGGCTACAGTGAACGCTGAACAGACAAAACTGACAAAAGGCAGATCAAGGACTGAACGGGCCCAGCACTGAACATCGCGGTACACGAGAGCATCAGCAGGTGCCGCCACGCATGGGCAGCCCTGAGCCCTGGCAGTGGCAGGTGGAGCAGGGCAGGCGGAGCTGGGAAAGGCCGGGGCTCAGCACATTCTTCCACCCAGCGTCTTCACTGCGCTTCCGGGAATTATTGAGGTTCAAAGGAAGAACTGAACTTTCCTGCCTGACTTAAACAAACAAGTCATTCAGGCCCCTGGCTTCACTGGGGGGGGGGGTTCTAATAGATTTGACCCTTCCCTGGCACAACTAGCCGATTGCCAGAAGCAGGGAGCTTTACTTTCTCGGATCAAAATTTTCATCCTTAGTCCCTATTTTCTTGGTTAAAAGCAAGATTTCTAGGACTTACAAATGAATAAACTTGTCAGCACTATTATATTTATGTTGCTTTGCTCAAAAACTCAAGGGGTCAGGGAGGTGGCTGTGGACGCCTCTGATCCCAGCACTCAGGAGGCAGAGAGAGGCAGGTGGATCTGTGAGCTCGAGGCCAGGCTGGTCTACAGAGGTAGTTCCAGGACAGCCAGGCTACACAGAGAACCACCCTCACACACACACACACACACACACACACACACACACAGCAAAAACAAACAAACAAACAAGAAACACTTTAAGAGGAAAGAGGTAGGCCAGGCGGTGGTGGCGCACGCCTCTGATCCCAGCACTCAGGAGGCAGAGGCAGGCGGATCTCTGTGAGTTCGAGGCCAGCCTGGTCTACAAAGGGAGTTCCAGGACAGGCTCCAAAAGCTACAGAGAAACCCTGTCTCGAAAAAACAAAAAAGAAAAAGAAAAAAGAGGAAAGAGGTATGGCAGACTAGAAGTGTATAATCATAGAGATACATCTGTATGTGCACACACATGCATGCACACGTGCGCACACTCTCCTTGAGAGAGCTAAATGGTGTTAGACAAGCATTTCGAAATGAAGAAACTCATGTTTTGTCTTTTTTTTTTCAAATATAAAAAAGTAAAATGACCTAAATGACCTAACCATAGAGGGACCAAAGACCGAGAGGTAACAGGCTCCTCTCTCCCTAGATTTCACGTGTTCACACCTGCCTACAAAGAGGTCTGGTCACATGTTCACACCTGCTTACAAAGGGCCCGGTCACATGTTCACACTTGGCTACAAAGAGGGACTTAACAACTCTCTCCCCAGAGGCAGGTGCCAGTCACAATGCACCACACTCCATCCTGTTTGAGTGACATCATCCTGCTTCTTAACAAATGAAGGTCGCGTGTGAACAGGCACGCGTGGTACCTCCCTGGCCCTTCCCTACTGCCCTTGTGAATGTCACAGCAACAGGGGAGAATGATAGACCCTGTGTGTTGTAAGCAATATGACTGATGCGAGATTTGTTTGTTTGTTTCCTTGCTTGCTTGCTTACTATGTATTTCTGGGAAGGCATTCTGCTCTTAACCACTAAGCCATTTCTCTAGCCCATGGTGCAGGCTTTGATTACCAGTTTTACAGGCTGTCTGCTTTGCCCCAACTTGATCTATGTCAGCAAGCAAGAGGGGCCTGAATTCCAGGCATCAGTTTTCACCAAAAAATAAGCTCTGGCCACTTATTTTGTGAGGGCAATTTAAGTAAGTGCTTGGGGACTGGGGATGTGGAGTCAAAAACAAACAAACAAAAAAATAGTAAGTAGAAACAGCCCAACTTTGAGGAGGGACTCTCTGTGTAGAGACCTCCTGCCTCAGCCTCCTGGGTGCTGAGATTAGCGTGCGCACCCCACATCAGCTGCTGCCCTGCGTTTAACTCAAATGAACAGCTTTCCAAGGTTTCAAGCCTGCACCCAGTCAGCTCTTCGCTCAATTGCTCGGCCAGTACACTCTAGGTGTGGGGGCCACTGAAGAGCGGAAAGGCTTCCAAACAGCCTCCTAACTTTTCCAGCAATTTACTGGGCTTGAGCTGACACCTGTGACCTTTGACTAACAATTACTAACAGCCTAAGGCAGCACCTGGAGCAATCATGCAACTTTCAGGTGCAGAAACTCTAGCTGACCCTAATCTCCCAGTCTAAAAGAATTTCCACACTTCCTTAAATGCCTTAGGCATTAGGCAAATTGAGGCCATTCCAAAGAAGAGAAAGTTGCACAGGTCACCTAGAGGCTCAGACTTCACTCCACACCAGCCCTTAGCCCTGCCGGCCCCACAGCTGCAGTCCTGTCTCTCCTCCTTGCTCATTTGAGCCCAGATCCACCTGTTTCTCTAAAACACACACTTGTCTAACCTTAAGACTTCCCACCCACTTCCTGCAAGTCTGTCCTTGCCCCCATCACTGCATTGTAACTTCACCTTTCCTACCTTGATCCCCATGGAAGCAATGATATCTAAAAACCTGTCTGCATAGCGAATAAATGAAGAAGAAGCAGGCGACGATGCTGCTCCATCGGAAGCCAACACCTGAAGGCTGAGGTGATGCCTATGCATTCTCTTCCATGGGCCCCGTAACTGTGCCACTAAACGGCTGACTCTGGCTGCAGATCCCAGGGAGTGCCCTGCTTGCCCTGCTTCCCCTTCATCAGAAAGAACACTTACAGCCTAAAACATGGCTCCACAGAACCAGTGAGAACTGACACCAGACAACACCATCATCTATGGTTGGTTTTCACTCTTAGGGAACTGTCCATGGATTCCTGGCCATCTGGATAGATTGCTGAACTTTGAGCAGGACATTGGATCACTACTGGGGTCCCCTGCTAGCTCAGAGCCCTCCTTTGACCATAAGGAAGCCAACCTCAGAAAGGATAGAGCTGTTTTGTTTTGTTTTGTTTTGTTTTTTCTCTGTGAAAAGGCCCATGTGGGCATTCTTTAGATTACCACTTTTGACTTCCAAATGGGAAAAATGCTTGCATGTTTTGCTCAAGCACCCCCAGTATATCTAAGTGCATTACAGTAGCACTGTGGGGAGAAGGAAGGGAGGGTGGATGTTTTCATTAGTGCCCAATACTATCATCCCTAAAGAGAGGATATGTTTGTCTTATACTAACAAATATCAAAACCTACAAGAAAGCTGGGTGGTGGGGGTGCATGTCTTTAATCCCAGCACTAGGGAGGCAGAGACACATGAATCTCTGTGCTTTGGAGGCCAGCTTTCCCTGGTCTACAGAGTGAGTTCTGGGACAGTATGGCTACACAGAGAAATCCTGTCTTGAAAAACTAAAACAAAAACCTACAAGAAGCACTGCCCATAGAGGGTCACCATCCCAGCCCGTCAACGTTGGTTGGTGAATCCAGAACAGATCACACACTGCTGAAGCATGGTTAACAAAGCTCAGAGAGAAACTGAGGCTCAACCTGAAGATACAAAATGCAAAGCCGCCAGCCAATGACTCCTACCTTGACCTCAGTCTGAAATGGAGATCCTGCCTCCAGGAATCTCAGAATGAGGCTGTGCATGAGAGCTGTCTCCTCCCGTTTTATAATCCTCTCTAGGACTGAGGTTAAAGGTGTGTACTGCCTGGTTTCTATAGCAACTAGTGTGGCTATGAAGATTAAAGGTACGTGTATGGTGGATACTAGGATTAAATGTATTTGTTACCATTACCTAGTCTGTATGTAAGGCTGACCGGTGGAGCTGCTTTACTCTCAGATCTTCAGGAAAGCTTTATTTGTTAAATTACAATTAAAAAGCCACTACACATTGCTTCGGAGAAAATGCTAAATGGTAATTTATAACTAAGACACTATTTTTTGAGTTTATATATGGAGTATTTTAGCACCCAGAGAAGTAAAAGGTGACACCAAAACCTGAGCGAGGTAATTAGCTAAATATTCACTGTCATTGCTCGTTGGCAAGAACATCAGCCTTTAATATTGCAAAGCGCGGCTCAGCAGAAGGACCGAAAAGCCCCGGCTACAGGAGGAGGAATGCTGAGTGCAGACAGAAATGATGCAAGCACCGTTCACATAGCCGCCCAAATACTTTCTGCAAAGATAAATAAAAAATAAATAAATAAATAAAAATTTTCCAAGAAAGAAAGAAAGAAAGAACCAATGACCTTATTTACTGGCTGCAAACAACAGCATTGCTTAGTATTTTCACAATGAAGAGGGTAGATTCAAAGTAAATTTAGGGGTAAATATGTATTTTAGAGGCAAAAATAAACAGTAGAAAATAAAGTCCATAGACTTAGAACTTCAAAATAAATCAAATAATAAAAGACACAAGAATATTAAGACCAACAGAAGCAAATTAGAAGACAGAGTAAGAAAGAAGCACACAGGCCCCCAGTAGCCACAATTACTATATACAAGCAATAAAATAGGTTCTGACTGTCGGGCAGAGGTGGCGCGCGCCTTTAATACCAACACTCGGGAGGCAGAGGCAGGTGGATCTCTGTGAGTTCGAGACCAGCCTGGTCTACAAGAGCTAGTTCCAGGACAGGCTCCAAAACCACAGAGAAACCCTGTCTCGAAAAACCAAAAAAAAAAAAAGAAAGTTCTGAATTCCTAGGAATTCGAGCAAAAGTAAGTCAGATGATAGTTTACACAGTTCTCTGACTTGACAAAAGAAAGTCTGTAGTTCAAAAGAATCTACTAAGATTTTTGTTTTTAAGGAATACATCATTCGAGTGCAAGAACACCAGAGCGAGTGTGCAGTGTATGCATGAGAGCACATTAACAAGAGAGGTTACACATAGAGCGGTGCACTACAGGACTCACAGGAAACAAGGAAAACCAAAGTAACAAAAAGAAGCCGTGAGGAAGTCTAAATATGGCCATCCGCTC